AAAAAAAAAAACGCTGAATAAGTATTTTTAGGTGGCGCAGAATGTTTATGATCGTGTGTTGAACTGGGGAGCACCATTTGGAATTTTGCATGCTGGGTAAATATTTATTAGATAATTAAATTTCGTTCTGGTTTGCCTTGGTTTTCTAATCGAACAGCTTCAGGAAAGCGCGGATATGAAATCTCTGGCGATGTTCGGACTCTAAATGATAGGGATTGCTTGCATTATTGGTGCAGATCACTGGCAAAATTCCGAAAAGCTGACTTTTTCGCGATCCTATGACCTTGAAATTGACTTGACTGAAGTGGAATCGCTTCTAACTAGTTTTTTTTTAGATCAGCAGATTAGTTATGTAAAGGGTAAAAAATGCTTTTATTGAGAGGAATTAAGTAGAAATGGAAGAAGATGGGCTGACGTTTTTGCTTTAGATATTATGCTCTGCGACAGTTGCGCATCGAGAAATTCTTTGTCTATTGGGGACAGGATATTTTCCCGAATGTAACACCTCTGGAATGTGGTCGTATGTATCGGGTTGATTTCAGTGTAAGCTTTTCTTCCGCTTAGATGTGGAGTTTGCTGAAAGTTGTGTTTTTTCTAATTTCGAAATCTTTTGAAAAACTAAATATTCCGAAGTTTACAAGAAGTTTTTTTTGACTAAATATTCCAAAATTTACATATAATCGCATGGCCGCTACTGTTTCATCTGTGTTCGTCTTTCTTTGCCCTCGATGCTTTGGATTGTGACATACTGCATTTACTTGACCTCACCGTATGTATCTGAAATTTGGAATAGCTATAAGTAGGTGTGTGGCTCCCCAGCTGTATATCTGGGAACTTTTCCAGTTGCCTTGTCCAGTGTTGCTCAGCCTGCTGACGTTCCTAACGTTCATTTCGTGTCCTGATATTACCAATTCAGCTTTATCCTGACAAAAGCAAAGCTTTGGCTGCTTCAAGACATCCTTAATGGTGATACATGCATCAGTTTGTCCAATACGTTGCCATTTCTAGATTATGATGAAGTATTCTACGAAACTGGGGGAGATTTGCGCAATTCCATACAAAAGTTCAGCCGTGTTCTGTCGTTTTTGTTTGAAGATTTGTGAAATCTCCTGAAATCCTCTCACAAAGGATCACTTTTTTTCAGAAAGACTTTATTGGTCGAGAAGCTTTACTGGAACAGAAAAAGGCTGGTATCCATAAACGATTTGTACAGTTGTTGGTTCAGAATCACGATTTGGACAGCGATCCATGGCCACAAGGTGGTGAGCTAATTTATCGCTATGGTGCACCAGTTGGACGGACCACTTCGGCTGCTTATGGTTATACTCTTGGATGTCAGGTATAGTTTTATGCATCAGTTTAAAAAAAAACCCGGGTTGCCGTTTGTCTTATTTAAATGTGATGGCCTGTTTTTATGCGTTTTTTGCAGCAATGCAATGCGAAAAACGCATATTGACGAGAGGTTGTCTGT